ATAAAATCTAAGTTAAAATTTATATGCACAAATTGATTAATTATTACTAAAATAAGAAAATCATAACATTTTCTTATATAAAATTACCTTTTTTATATATAATTTATCTATTCTTAATAATAATTTGTGCACATTTTATATTGTGTAATATGTATACATAAAAAATTAATGTGCACATGTGCACATTGTACATATAGATTTTATACATTACATCTGAATATGATTTTATATTATCATTGTCATCATCCTCACTAATATAAATTAGCATTTTATTTAGGATATCATAGTTATGTGTTTATGTGGATTTTGCGATGAGTAATGTAGATTTTGTAATGGGTGGTGTGGACTTTGCGATAGGTAGTGTAGACTTTGCGATAGGTAGTATAAACTTTATGATAGGTAATGTGGACTTTGTGATAGGTAGTGTGAATTTTATGATGGATGATGCGGGTTCTACAATGAACAAATCTAAATATGAGAAGAATATATTTAATAATTTTGGAATAAAAAATAAATTTATTATTAAAAAACTTATCAGATGCTAGATTTAATTTCTCTTCTAATTCATAAAAATTTTTGGAAGATGATCCAGGTGTTTCATTTTTGCTATTTAAGTCCTTACTAATATTTTCTAAACTAAAATTTTGTAATAACAATTTAGGGCTTTTTTCATTTGATATAGAACTGTTCTCATTTGACATAGAACTGTTCTCATTTGACATTATTAAGAATACTATAACTTTAAACTACTGATTGAATGAAATAAACAAACTTCTTACTAAAAAAACGCCAAATAATAATTTTATAATATTCTTGATATATTTCTTATATAAATGGTTATAAAAGGGTAAATGAATTATGCATTATGACAAAAAATTTTTAACACTAAATTTTCATATGAAATTGATTAGCAATATGTATCGATTTGATAATTAAGGTCAACTCACGTAGTCTGTGCATGACATTTCTGCTAACTGATACATTATCTTTTATTTGTATAAAATTTGCATCTAAATCACGTCATAAAGTATCTGCTGATGGTAAATTTAAATCAAATTTAAGATATGTTAATATATCTACAGTCATACCTCTCTATAGCGAATTTTTATATAACGAATTTTTTGGACAACTATATTAAATTTACTCTCGTTATA